GTCGAACCTCATCGCCGGTATATCATTATTTATTGTGTTGTGATGGGTATAGTCGATTCCAGTGTCAGCTTCCACAGGTTTTCCAATTTGATGTGGGCTAGTTTCAAGATCAATTTGTTGATCGTCATCGTCCTCCTCGGCCATCGTATTTTTCTGATGCGAGTATTCTTGGATAGCAATTGGGTCACTTCCACCGGCATCAACATGAGGTGGAGTTACCATTTCCAAGTTTTCATCTGGTCGAGCGTGTGGTGAGTTTGGATAATCCGGTGGGAGAATCGGTGGTTCAGCATTCATATCCAGAATAGGACGAGCGTGGATCTGAGAGCTATCGTTTATCATCGGTCTTCCTTCTTCAATGATTTTTGGTTCTTCTGGGAGACGCTCACTGTCGTGTCGGCTCGGAATTTTGTGGAGTAGGCGTGATCGTATATCAACGAATTGACGATCAGTGCAGAAGACCGCTTCCAACTCTTCGGCAGCTTTTTCGACAGAATCTTTCCAAACGGAACCTGAGATAACAAATTTTAGAGTTTAAGAAACAAAGAAGAAATCGTACCGAGCTCTTGAATCATAACTGTTCTGATTTCAGCTATATTTTCAACTGATTTTCTATCTGGATATTTTGTATGGCAGACTGGAGTGGTTCCCTCCAAATTGGCGACTCCCTTCAATACGTTCTCGCAATAAAACTTCTGAACGACCCGCTTGTCTGTAGCGTTGACTTCATCGCTGATAAACTTTTGCAACGACTCGTGTTTGGCCGAGAATCCATTTGATCGTAGTTCAAAGAATCTAGAAATTTCGCATACAACACTTTTATAAACTTTTGGTCCCGACGAACCCAAGAACTTTCACTGGTTGATTTCGACTCCAGAGAGCCCAATCGTCGGAAGTTGGAACCAATTTTTTATCGCAAATATGATCGTATCCTTTCTCAAGTGGATCAATGACAAGCATGTTACCAAAGCCATCATCATAAGCTGCCAACGTGTCTACAGTAAACCTCCATTTCTCTTTCGGCGCTCCAAGAACTGATCTCCATTCATGAAGAACAACAGGTTCAGCTCTAAATTTATCCGTAGACTGGTTTCGACTCGAATCTCCAATTTCCAAACGGACTGTTCCATAGCCTTCATCGCCCGAAGGATAAAGAGAGCACATGAAAGGACTGTACTTTGCAACGCACTTTTCATAGAGCTAAAGAGAAATTATTTCAAAAATAAAATCATAATCATTGCTTTGATGATACCTCACGAAGATCACAGCTAACTTCTCCTGACAAAAACACTGGCCGTTGTCCGAGAACAGCAAGACGAACAGCAGGTCCGATGGGAACGAAGAAACATTCACTCGTAGATAGGAAATTGAGAACATCGTCGATCGTTTTTCCGAGCCCTTTCACTTCTAAAGATTTCATCCAACTCCAGTGGAAGATGAATCCATCGCTTCTGATCACCTGCAAGCAAAAAGTGACCCATTACAAATGATTGATGAAGCGCTCACCTTTGACAGACTCCCGTCGTCTCGTTGCCATGGCGGTGTCAGATTCGCGTATTTCGATGGAAATTGGATATGAGCGACAGTGGAAGGATGCAACTGAAATTTGGGAAGTTTGCTGAATTGAAATACCGTAAAACCTGTATTAGACCGGCTCTTTAATAAAAAATCCCCTCTAATAGAAGGACCTTCCGAGAGAGGCTTGGAACAATAGAAGCCTTCTTTGATTATAGAAGAGCCCCTTTCAAATAGTGACCTTTGAAAAATTTACAGTACGTTTTCAGTGAAAAATATTCCGGAATTTCCACAAATTCACAAAAATTTGTTAAAACACCCTTTTTTGCTCGAAAGCTTGCTCAATTTCAGTGAAATTGACAGATTTTCATGAAATTTGAACGGGAATTCGCCGAGTTTTCGTTCAAAATTTTCGAAAAAAAATGACCGAAAAAATAGAAGGCTCTTTTAATTGGAGAGCGGCTCTATTCAAGAGCATCTGTAAAAGAAAGGGCTCTTCGGAGGTAACTTGGAAAAATAGAAGGACTGGCCCTTCTAATACAGGTTTTACGGTGTTATTCTGGTACGAGAAATTGAAGCTGTGGATGAGAACCGCCGGTGGCCGTGGTCAAAGGTCCCACAGCGACAACTACCGTAACCTTAAATATATTTCCCTGTTTTATTTTCCCGTTTTTTTATTTCTTTTCGCACTTGGGTCCAAAGAAACGGGTCAGAAAAGGCGCCCCAGCAAACCCGTCGGCCAGAAGAAATTTAATAATTTTAAAGTGGACGCGGGTTTGATCTAGATCATGATCTATTTCTTCAAGATCAACAAGTTGCAACGCGCGTTTTTTCGCTTATCCACTTGGGTTCAGGCGAGGGGATCAGAAAAAGCGCCCCAGCAAACTCGTAGGCCAGAAGAAATTTCATAATTTCAAAATGAACGCAGGTTTGAACTAGATCATGTTCTATTTCTTAAAAATCAACGGGTTGCAACGCGCGTATTCTGCTCATCGTTTAAAACTGTGATACTCAGCCAACGAAGTTCGGCAGCGAATTGAGAATTTTTTAAAAATTTACTGGGGCGCGCTTTCTGACCCCCTCGCTTGAACCCAAGGGCTTATCGATTAGAAGCTGTGAAACTCAGTACGGAAGTATCAGGAGTCGTCTCCAAGTTACACTTCATGACTTATATCATTAGAAAGCCTATAAAATTCTGATCTGGAATATGTTTTCTGTTTTTGCGAAACGGCGGGGAGCTTCGAGAAAATTGGGTCACAAGAAATTTCAGTGTTAGTCTAGCCTGTTGATTTTGCATTGAAAGCCGTCACGTCGATTTTCAATGAAAAATCAACAGGTTTAACTACCCACTTGGGTTCAAGCGAGGGG